GATGTAGATGTCAGTTTTTAATAAAATTAATACTTTTAGAGTTCTCTCATCAAGATCTATCTAATAAGATCTAGGGCTAAGCAAGTAATTCATGAAATCTGTAATCCGATCCAGTCTAGTCTAATCCGATAGGTTTGGATCGATTTTTTAAATCTGCGGTTTGGTTCCGGATTGAAGAATTAAAAATCCATAATCTACGGATTGGTTTCGGATTGAACCCCACGGTTCCAGATTGGAACCGATCCGGACCGTATATAAATAGTCTATATTTTTATTATACATCTTCCCCCATAGTATCCTCTCTTAATTCTATATAAAATCTAAACTCAAATCTAAAACCGTATAATATCTTCTTTTATTACTTTTGTTTGTTGGTTTTTAGTTTTAATTTGTAATGGTTTAAATACTTATAGTGAAACTAGTTTTCTTATGGTTGTTTAAATTTTAGAACAGTATGTCGCTATTATAGAAAAATATGTTGCTATTGTGGAACTAATATAGTGCTATGTTTATATTTTTATAAAATGAAAGTGTTATATATATATATATATATATTTTTGTTATTTAATTATGTGAATCTGTAGTCCTAAACCGATCCAATCCGTATTTAAATGGATTGGTTCAGATTGGTTCCATGATTTAAACGGATTGGATTGGTTCCAATTTTTTAGGAACCGTAGATAACGGATTGGTCCTAATTTTATCTCAATCCGGTCCAATCCGGACCATGCTCACCCCTAATAAGATCCATGTTGACTATGAAATTTTTTTTTAAAAAAAATTTATTACCGTTGAAATTGATGTAAACAATAAAAGTAACATGTTAATCTGTTTGATAATTGCTCCACATGTTACTCTATTGGACAATTACTCTATTTGACAGTAACATGTTACTCTGGCAATATTTTCCAAGAAAAAAAAATAAAAAAAATATTTTACTTTGTCCTTACTCAATTATATATTTTCTTCTTAGGGGGTTTATGAAGAAAAATAAATTGGATTGTCGTTTTTAACAAATTAGGGTCCAGTGGATGGGGCTTTGACTCAATTTTCCAAAATAATTATTATGTCACGCGACTATCAATATATCATTTTATATTTAATTTTTTACAAACATTAGCTTTAGGAGTTAATTGAGAAACACTTAAAACATGAAAGGTCAAAATAGAGAGAGAGAGAGAAAAAAAAAAAAAAAACCTTTAAGGCCTCGTTTGTTTGGCGGATTAGGTTAGATGTGATTAAGAGTCCAGTGGAATTGAGTACGGAGATTATTAGTGTGGTGATATTAGGTTGGAGGTGTAAGATAAAATGTGTTTGTTTGTGCACTAGTGTGATGGTATTAGTTAGTTAGAATTAAATGTGCAAATTACGTAAAAACCCTTTTCACATAGAAGTTATTTTTGTTGATTTTGTAGAATGAGGGGCAAAATAGCCTTTTTGCTCCAATCCATGGGAGTGGAATTCTAATCCCACCCTTTCTATGGGAATGCTAATTCCACCGTGGGAGGGGATTGATAGTCCCATGGCCCCGTTTGTTTTCAGAGGTAGAATGGAGGGATTGATAGTAAGGGGATTTTTAATGAAAGGATTGATAATGAGGAGATTAGTAAAATTATGTTTATTTGATGGTAATTGTTAGTGTGGAGATTGTTAAATTATTTTTATATAAAATAATAAAACAAATAAAATTTTGATTTTTACTTAACCAAAAATACAAAAACATTAAACATTAGTGTTTTAAAAAAATGCCCAACAAGTGAAAAAAAAAATTACAGTTGATCGATTGACCAGCTGAACGTCCGGTAACACCCAATTCAAATGGGCTATTTTGCTAATACCCTCTCTCAGCCCAAATTGCTAATACCCCTCGCCAAGGCCAAGGCCTATCGTAATCCGAAGAGACTACGAATTTGGAACTCCAAAACCAAAATAAACATAAGTCATCTTCACTGTTCATCTATCACAGTCCGGAGTGGACTGTGATAGCAGAAAACAAATGGGGCCTATAGGATTAGCATTCCATGTCACTTCTTCACAAATAAACATACTATAGGTGGACCGCATAGATTACTAATCCAATCTTGTAACGCCCTCAAAATAATACATAAATCATTCATTTATAAGGTCCAAAATCATAAAAGAAACATTATATTTTCATTCATTAGAGTCCTTTTTACAAAAAGATATTACATGTTAACAAACTAAATAAATGCCCTATGGGCTTACACTTTCCAAGTAGACACTTGGTTACAACAAAAGAGGGTCAAAAGCCCTTTACAATTTAAAGCCCTCGGCTTGAAAATAAAAGCATATAAACATAAAGTGAAACAATAAAACGGAGTCTTCAACTCCTAAACCTCCCAAGCTAAGATCTTGAAGGCGGCATATCACTGGCATCTGAAAAATGATGTCCCAAATAGGATGAACCAAAGCCCAATGGAGATATGCTAAACAGTATATGAGAGTTAACTAAAACATAGCATTTGATAAATGTTTAACACATACAACATAAGTACATCCTTTCCATAACCAATCAATATTTACACCATGATTAATCCACTTTCCATTATTTATCCAAACCGTGTAAAATGAGACTACAACTCATATAATAGCACTTCATTAACAAACATCATTTAACATTTCCAATATCACTCCATTTTACGGAACTACGTCCGAGGGAACCAGCACTCATAAATAAATAAGATTTTAGGACTTTCACCCAGGACACTCCGACCAACTTAGTTATCAATGGAGTCCATCCCCTATCTCCTCTCAAACAAGTGGAGTACATCCCCTATCTCCTCTCACACAATATACATATACAATGTATTTAAACGTATTGTCATATACAATGACCTAACAATTCACATATTCAATGCGTTAATTCCATCGTCACATTCAATGATATAATCCGATTGATTAGTTTCAATTTCCCTAATCTTCATGCAATGTCTACAATAATCAAGACTATCCTCCATCGATAACTCAAAACAATTATTTCTAAACAGATATATAAATCTATCAAACAGATAAATTATTATAGTTTCCATCGGTGAGTGATTTATCAATCCAACTACACCGTTCAATCACAATTTCCTCCAATTTCAAGATTTTCAACCCAATTTCATATTTCCATAATTTACCAAATTAATTATTTAAATCCAATTAGGGCATTTCCCCCTATTCTCAAATATTGCCCCCAAGGCCAAATTTCTCCCACTACACCCAAACAATGCCATTTTCAAGACCTTATGGACACATGGAGCCTCAAAACATAAAACCCCTCATCAATAATTTCAATCTCAAAACCTTAACTTCAACAAATTTCCCAAACATCGCCATTTATACAAAGTGACTAAAATTAATGTTAACATTCATAATAAATAGTAGATTATCCCTACCTCAAATGGAGAAGCTTAAAAGAGAAGGAGGAGGAAACTCAAGATGCTCCAAAGTTCAACTTTTTCGAATCAAAACGTAGCCCATGCGAAGCTCAAGCTTTAATACAAAGGGACTTAGGTAGAAAACCTCTAGAACAAGGTGTATTTGTAGAGAGAAAGAGAGAACTTAGAGAGAGAGGTAGCCAAAACTAGGGTTTGGATGAAGAAGATAATGAAAAAGTGATGAATATCACGTTGTTGCCAACTGATATACTCAAGGCTCGCTCGAGCGAGCAGACACAAAAGAATCTCGCTCGAGTGTAAAAAGCGTCGCTCAAGCGAACAATGCGAAGCTTCAGGTCTGCAACCCAGAAGCACGCTCGAGCGCAAAAGTGCTCACTCAAGCGAAGGAACTCAAAACATAAGGCTTGCTCGCTCGAGCGCAAGAAGCATTGCTCGAATGAAGAATACCAACCTTTAGGTCTAACAAGGATGCAGACGCACGCTCGAGCGAAAGTTGCGTCTGAAAAGAAACCTGAGGACTCCCAATCCTCGCTTGAGCGCAAGAACCTTCGCTCGAGCAAAGAAGCAAATACCCAGGCCTCGCTCGAGCGCAAAAAGCCTCGCTCGAGCGAAGAAGTCAAAACCTGGGCAGCAACCATTTGCAACAACTCGCAACCAACCTGTTCCAAACTCACCCAACACATCCCAAAACTCAAATAACAAGAATAAAGGATGGAAATGAAGTATAAACAACAACATACAACCATGGGACCCGAATTCGGAATACAATAAATGAAGGGAAAAAACCGAGATCGCTATAAATCTCTTCTCCCAAACTTTCAATCAAACATGACTTAAGAGTCAAAGTGATTAAGGTCTTGTTTGGCATGTGAATATTTTAGTTTAAAAGTCAAAATTTTATTAAAAAAACTAAAAAACTTATAACCTATACTAAAAAGTCAAAAATTTATTTTTCTCTCCACTTGTTATACATTTTTTTGTAAAAAATCAAAAAATATTCTAAACATTCTAATTTTTTTACCTCATATTTTAACTAAAAATTTATCAAAATAATTTGTTTCCAAACGATACCCAAATAAAATGGGGGGAATAGTGTAATTTAAAACACCCCCTTCTATTTCCAAACGATACCCAAATAAAATGGGGGAATAGTGTAATTTAAACAATCCCCAAAAAAAAAAATTAAGAACAGAAAATCTCGTATTCCAATCTTTCTGGGGCTTTTTTTTTTGGACTTTTCTCATGTGTGCCTTGCATATGGTATGCAAGGTACTTACACCCTTCTATTTTGCATTTACACATTTATATGTATTGGGTTATATCAAAATATTTGGAAACTTACACATTGGTGACCTGCTAAGCAGGTCACTTTCCAGGTAAATTAATAAAATAATATATTATATGACTAAAGGTGTAAATGGTCACAAGAAAAGTATAAGTTTTCAAGAAAGGCGTAAGGAATTTCAGAAAATAATAATTATAAATTAAATATAATATTTTATTTATTATAATTTATTTTATATTTTATGATTATTTTAGTCACAAAATCACTTGTAATACACCTCACAACTGACCTTACAATTTTCAACTGCAAATTATGTGGATATCACATCGAAGCTTATCCCTCTATCTCCCTGTCTCTCTCCCGCCCTCCCTCACTCACTCTCTCTCTCTCTAAAAAATAACACCAATTCGAAATATAGAGAGAACCACAGAGAGAGAGAGAGAGAGATAAGCGGCCATGAAAGGCTTGAAGATGGAACTCTCCCTGCGCTGCATACATGGAGCGAAACCTCTGCTCCCATTTCTTACTTCAAGACCTTTTTCAAGATTTCAGCCAAGATGCCAACTTGCCCTCTCCATTGGTAATTTCTTTGCCTTGAATACATTTATTAAATCTTAAAATTTGTTTGAGTTCCTTGGGTTTAATTTACCTTTGCTTCTAGTGATGTTATGTTAGTTTAGCAAATTGGGTCTTTAATTTGTCTTTTAGGAAATTAAAAAATTGCTGTTACAGGAAGTGTATGTGAAAGGTTATGATCAAATTTTTTTAAGATGGTAGAATTAAGTTGTGTTTCTTTTAGGGCTAAAACATTCTTGAAGTGATTTTTCCTTATTACCCATATTGCAAATCTCTCTCTATTCATCCGTGTTCTTATCTTAATTTTGATTAATAGATAAGTTAGATTTTGTTCTTTTATTGTATAGTTTAGTTTTTGTAGGCCTTTTTCTTATTTTTGGAAGCACTCATGGACTTAATAGTTGAAATGAGTTTTGCAGGGATAGTAATTTGTATACAAAGCTAGGGTGAGTTTTAAAAGATTTAAGAGCATGTGGTGGGGATTATTGATTTGTACTTCGTAATATTGGAGTTCTTATAAGTGGTGTAGTGTTTTTATGTGAATTCAAGAGTCCTCTTGCTCAATTGTGGTATACATATATATTGGTTGAAGATGACTTTTATTTCACTTGAAGCTACATGAATGTATGAATTGATTGAACAAATTCTAGTCTTTAAGCTTTAGTCTATTGCTTAAATTTGGAATAATTAGTTTAACTTCTTGTGCTTATTTTTTGAACTTTGGTTTTTTATTTGAAGGTCTCAATTCGTCCTTGTAATTTTAGAGTTTTCTTGATTATCAGATTCAAATCAAGAAAAACCAAATTTATTAACTTAGGGCAGGAGATATAATTATTTTTCTCGACTCTGGTAAATCCTTCAATTTCTTAAGTTCAATCGTGGTTTTGGATAGAAAAATAATCGAAACAAACTAACTGGACTCTTTTTCAAGTGTTTGATTGTATTGCCATGTATAATTTCCAGACTCTTCAGGGCACAAAAATTACAGGTTTGGGGATTTGTGAGTGCAGTGTAGTGTATTCTTTTGGTTTTTCTCTGTGAACTTTGCTTTATCTAGATTTACCACGACATGAGTAGTCTTCTTTTTTTTTTGGGGGGGTGGGTTGCATTAAGTTCCCTTCTTGAGGCTGACACATTAGAACCTGCATACAGGTTGCAGGGATCATTTTCCCTCTAAACATTCCAAAATGAAGGGAGCGCGGAAAGTAAACTTCACCACAAGAATTACGTCAGGTAGAGAACTCTTGTTTGTTCACATTTTTTGTCATAGGAGCTTACAAATTCTTCAGCATCTGTCTTCCGAATGATATAAAAACCTTTTCTGGATATCTTCTTTCAGCCTCAATACAACCTATGACTGAGGAATTGGTTGAGGATAAATCCAAGGATGTCCCCACAAGTGGGGATTCCATTCGCCGGCGATTTCTTGATTTTTATGCTTCACGAGGTCACAAGGTCCTTCCAAGTGCTTCTCTTGTACCAGATGATCCAACAGTTCTGCTGACAATTGCTGGAATGCTTCAGTTCAAGCCCATATTCTTGGGAAAGGTATTTACATGTAGTTCAGAATTTTCTTACAAAGCCTGACTTGGGATCACTCTATTGAAAATAAAGACTAAACTTAGCATTCAGTTGATTATATTGGACATAGCATATAGAAATATATTACATTGAGATCATTGTGCACTGTGAATTATTTATTTTAGTATGCTACATTGAGATCATTGTGCACAGTGAATTATTTATTATATTAAAACTTGTAGGTATTTATGCCTCATTAGACACACCATGCTCTACTGTTGTTGGAATATCTCAATATTTAAGTTGTCATCCATACAATTGTAATGATTAAGGATAAAATTGCATCACATGAGGTAATGGATTTTTCTATACTACCATATTGAAATACTTCTCCATTCTCTCATCACATAATATTAGGGTCTTGTAAGTTGTATCTGAATATATACTATTTTTTTTTTTTTTGGATAAATAACCAAACTTTATAGATAAAGCATCAAGAAGATACAAAGAATACAAAAACGGCTTCAAAAGCCCAACGAAACTAACAAATCAAATTCTCCACAAAATCTGTAAAAGCCAACACATCTGAATCTACTAAACCTGTCACCCAACTATACAAAACAGTAAGAAGCCGCCTCTCTAACCAAGTGATGGAATGAGCCACCCTGTGAAACACCCACCTGTTACGCTCCAGTCAAATCAACCACAGTAAACAATGCAAGGCAAGAATCCAAGCCTTTCGACGCCTTTTCCCCACCCTCCCCCCTACCCAACTCTACAAAACTGCGAACAAAGAACCTGATTGAACCCAAACCATCCCAAAAATTATCACCACAAGCATCCAAAGACGAGAAGAGACCGAACAATGAATAAGCAAATGATCAACTGATTCCACTGCCTGACCGCACAAGCAACACCAATTCACCAAAATATGCCCACGACGAATCAAATTATCAATGGTCAAAATACGATCCAAACTCTCCGTCCACACAAAGAAGGCAACCTTGGGTGGCATGCCGGGCACCCAAACACTTTTCCATGGATAAACCAAGGTGCCATAAAAAACACACTTATCTTGAACAAGCGCCCCATGGAACGAGGACACTGTAAAAATACCTTTGGCCCTAGGACAATCCCAAACCAAGGCATCATTATCCGCCTGTCCAAGATGTAAACCATATAAAAAGCCAAGAAGGTCCACTAATTGATCTAGCTCCCAATCTTGGACATCACGACGCAACTGCATGTTCTACACCCTCAACTGCCCCTCCCTAACCCTCACAGCACCCACCAACACCTCAGAATTAGCAACAATAGCGAAGATCAAAGGAAATCGAAGCTCTAAAGACAAGTCTCCACACCACCTATCTCGCCAAAATTGAACTCTATCCCCCACACCAATTTTCAACCTCACTCGTTGCCAAAACACCTCCCGACCCAGCCAAATCCCTTTCCATAACCTATAACCATGAGAATGACCCACCCGTCCCGAGCACCACTCCCCCTCTACCCACACCAAACTTAGCAACCACCACTCGCCTCCAAAGCGGCTCCCTCTCCTCCACAAAACGCCACAGCCACTTCCCTAACAAGGCCAAATTAAACAAAACCAACCTCCGAACCCCCAATCCCCCTTGCTCCTTAGACATACAAATCCGATCCCAAGACACCAAGTGATAATGACCACCCTCACCCCCATCACCCCACAAAAAGTCCCTCTGCAGTTTCTCAATCTGCCTCACTACAAAGACCAGGATGACATGAACAGACATAAAATAAGTCGGAATACTTGACATAACACTTTTAATCAATGTAAGCCGTCCTCCCTTCGACAAATACTGTCGTTGCCACCTTGCCAACCGTCGTCGCACCCGATCCACCACCTATTCCCAAATCCCTATAGCTTTGAAGGACGCCCCCAAAGGCAACCCCAAATATATGACAGGTAAAGAGACCACTTTGCACCCCAAAATGGCTGCCAGAACCGAAGACCTCACCACCTCCCCCACTGGAATCAATTCTGATTTTGCTAAATTCACCCGAAGGCCGGACACTGCCTCAAAACACAACAACACACATCTCAAATGCCCAATCTGGGCCTCCTCCGCATCACAAAAAATAAGCGTGTCATCTGCATAAAACAAATGACACACAAGGTTCTGAAAAGCGGTTGCGGTCGCCGTAACAGTGGTGGTGGCGCGGTTGCGGTTGCGGGGTGTAAAGGTCATAGCTTAACGGTTGCGGTAACCGGAACCGTGAATTTTTTTATTTTTTGCACAATTTGAAAAAAACTTACCGATACACACATTTTTTTTCCATGATCAATATTTGCTTCAATTTTTATAAATTTTTAAGTTTGATCCAATATATTTCATATTTTTAAATTACTATAAACTTAATTTTTGACATTTTATTTTAATAATTAATGATTTTATATTATACAAAAAAATTAATCACTAACTATTATATATAAGATAAACAATGACAAAAGTAAGAGAATAAATAAAAGCATAAATATATATATATATATATATTAATCAAGCCAAATAGATAATGACCACACTTATTATTATTATTATTATTATTATTATTTTCAAACAATATATAGATAGACACACACAAACAAAATGGTTGAGTGCTAACAGCTGAATAGAATAGCATAGGTCTTACAACTTCAACAAATCAATAACATGTTCTTCATCTTCCCTCTTCTCTCTCTCTATCTCTTGTTCCTCCATCTTCCCTCTTCTCTCTATTTCTCTTCCCCTATTTTCAATTTTTTTTTTTTTTTTGTGTTTTTTCGAAAGAAGCAATTCGGAACCGTTACGTAACGGTGCGTAACAGGCCGTTGCGGCACCGTTACGACCGCTATAGCAACCGCTACGGCCGATACACCTGTGAATGTCAATCACACTGCAAAAGCGGCCGTAACGGGTGACGGTAACTACCACAACCGTTACGTAACGGTTGCGGTCGCTTTTTAAAACCTTGCTGACACACCATCGCATTCCTCGGAGCCACTCCTACCTCAAAACCATTCAACAAACCTGCTTGCACCACCTTAGCCAACAAATGCCTCAAAGCCTCTATAACCAGAATAAACAACAAAGGAGATAGAGGATCACCCTGCCGCATCCTGCGATGAGTCAGGAAAAACCCTGTCGGGGAACCATTAACCAAAACCGACATTCGCACAGCAGAAATGCAAAACAGAATCCAACGCCGCCACTTCTCCCCAAATCGCATCCTCTCCAGAAAACTCCCAATTCACATTATTGTAGGCCTTCTCAATATCTAATTTACAAATAATCCCCTCCTTCCCTTGACACAACCGCGAGTCCACACATTCATTCGCCACAAGCACCGCATCCAAGATTTGCCTACCCCACCACAAAAGCATTCTGGGATTCCAATACCACCCCTACCAACACACTGTGCAAACGATTCACCAAAACTTTAGCCAACACCTTATACACACTCCCTAGAAGTCTAATAGGCCGGAAATCTCTAATATCCTCCACCCCCCCTTCTTCAGAATCAAGGCAATAAATGTAGCATTAGGGCTTTTCTCAAATTCACCTGACTAATGAAACTGCTCAAACATAGCCAACACCTCCGATTTTACCACCCCCAAACACTGTTGAAAAAATGAAATAGTAAACCCATCCGGACCAGGCTCCTTATCCCCAGGCATACTTTGCAATGCCTTAAACACCTCCTCTTCTGTAAATGGCCTTTGTAGTAAAATTCAATCTTCTTCAGAAATAACATCAAAACTTACCCCATCCAAACCCAGTCGCCACCCCTCCCCTACGAACCAAAACAAATGCTCATAAAAACCCACAATACTTGCCTTGACCTCTTCCGAGGACGAAAATTCCACCTCATTTACTCAAATACGACCAATCTGATTAACCTGCCGGTGAGCATTTGCCATACGATGGAAAAACTTTGTGTTACGATCACCATCCTTCAACCACAGACATCTAGACTTCTGGCGGAAACTAATCTCCTCCATGTGAGCAATGTGACCAAATTCCTACCGAACTTCCTCTCGGCGAGCCATATCAACCTCAGACAACACCGCGCCACCTTGTTTCTCCTCCAATGCCTGCAAAGCTACTAAGGTTCTTGCCTTCTGCCCCTCCAATTGCCCAAAAACCTCTCTATTCCATCTCTTCAAGTCTAACTTGAGGAGTTTCAATTCTGCGCTAACTGTGAACTAGGCAACCCTGCCACGTTGTAAGACACCCACCAGCCTTTAACGATCTCCACAAAGCCCTCAGATTGTAACCACATGTTCTCAAACCGAAAAGGCGTTAGCCCACTCCTGATACCCCCACTATCCAGCAAGATTGGCCAATGATCTGAAGTTGGACGTTGTAATCGCCGTTGAGTTGCCCAAAAGAAATGCTCCTCCAAATCCCCTGTGACCAGAAATCTATCAATTCGAGACATTGCTCCACCCTCGGACCAAATGAAACCACCACCCTGAAGCGGGAAATCAACTAATTCCATCTCATCAATGAATAAAGAAAAACGCCGCATTGGACCCCTCCCTGAGGAAGCCCCTAGTTTCTCCTCCAGACACCGAACCACATTGAAATCTCCACCCACACACCACGGAACCCCCCACCAATAAGCAATACTCTGTAGCTCCTCCCAAAAACTTGGCCTCTCTACTCCACAAATTGGGCCATAAACCCCTTGAAGGCCCATCTGAAATCATCCTCTACACACCGAAAGAGGCAAGACAATGAAAAACCTCTCAATTCTACATCCTCCTTTACCACCACTCATTGATCCCAACACAGAAGAACACCCCCAGCCACCCCTAGTGTAGGAAGGAAGTCCCAGTCCACAAATCAGCCACCCCAAAGATCCCGAACTATTGCCTCCTCAATACAGTCCATCTTTGTTTCCTAAAGGCATACCACATCTGCCTTTGCACTTCTAAGGACGAATTTCTCCAAAACCCTCTTCCCCTTGTCATTCAGTCCTCGCACATTCCAAGACAAAAATTTTAATCTCATGATAATAATGGCTGATCACGTCCTTTTCTGGTACCCCGCACTCCACCTCCCTTAGTCCGATCATAATTAATAGTACATTCCAACCTACGTAATTCCCTGGCACTCTTGACATTATGGCTAGCAGACTCCATCCCTTGCTGAAGAGGAACATCACCTCTCCATGATTCCTCTATTGCCGAAAATAGTCTCAATGCTTCCTCTTCATGGCCCTCAAAGGAGACCTCCAATAATTGGCTTACCTCATTAATTCGAGACAAAACCCAAGCAGAAACCTCCTCTGGCAGTGGTATATCATCATCTGACCCAACAGTATCTCTCTCAAGATCAACCTCCTCGTTTGCACCATTCTCCACAGCCACCTCATCGGAACCTGCCTCAGGCCTGACCACCATGCTCAACCCATCTGTCATATCAGTCCATCGACTTGCTTCACCTTCAAATTGCTACGGTCGTGATTCCGATAGGCCGGCTGTACTAGGCGGCTGCTTCGTCACCTCATCAATATGCTGCTCCACCCCTTCTAAATCTGAAGAAGCATCAACGACGACACCTGACGACGGCAGTGGACCAGTCGGCAACTTCTCGGCATTGCCCATCAAGTCGCACAACACCGGCGAAGACCGATCATTTGGTCTAGGGCCAAACCCAGCTTTTAGCGTGGAGAATATTCGACTAATAACTGGGTTTGCTTGGGCTTCCACTGATTAAACCCCCCCATCCCTCCTTGGGCTCAAAATGACAGCTTGAGATGGCCCACTTCGATGAACCCCTTGTTGTTTGGCCCACTTCTATTTGGGCACTACCACATTTCTCTTAGCTTGGACCTTAGCAAAGCCCAAATGACCCCCCTGTTTTCCCCGATTAAAATCCTAACCCAGGCCCATATGGGGTTGGCCCAAAAATATTACCCCGTCTACCCATCCCCATTTGCTGCCCCAAATCTTTGCAGATAATCGTTGACCCCCAATTTCCGCCATTTCCTTCGATCTGATTGCAGCAAATCTCGCCCATCCTTATCCGTTCCACCTCCTCCACCGCCCACCATCTCCGGCACTGCTAGTTCCACCGAAGGTCCCTCCTCCACCCATACAGGTAAAGAAAACTGCCACAAACCCCATCAGACAACCACATGCGTCGGTGTGCTATGAGAACTTCTGATTCGTAGCCAAACATAGCCCAAATCCACTGATGACTCATCTGTTTCCACATAACCACCACACTAATCACCAATGGCACGGTAAACATCTTCCCCGCGAAGGTGGATGGGCACTCCCATCACCTGAATCCAAACACTCTTCGCTGTCAAGGTTGTAGCTTTCGAGGTATAGAGTGCTAAAGGTGACCACCATTCCAACACTAGATCCCTTCCATTAACAATCCACTGCCGTCGCAGCAACACCTCTGCCTCACGGCGATTTGGCAAAACAAAGAGGAACGCCTGGCCTCCTAACGGACGCACCTCCACCTTCCCCGTTGTTTTCCACCATTGATTTACCCAACCAGACATAGCGGCAAAACTCATCCCCTTGCCACCCATCTCTCCCACTCTACCAACAAGCGATCTGTCCAACAAACGGAACCATTCCACCTCTATTGCACTCCGTACTTCCTTAACCCCGTCAGTCACTCCCCCCATGGCTGATTGCGATGGACCAGGTTTGGACCCTTCCTTACCCTACATTGAACCACCATTATGCATCCCAAAACATTCAAGGACCAGGGCCACTCCTTCCCACCCATCCCCAAAATCCGACATAGGAATGAAGATTTGCTCTCGCCTCTTCCCTGCCGTCACCACTATTTGAAAGGACGAACCACCACTTTCCTCGCCACGAACCCATACTGCCACAATCCTACTACCCCTAGTGAGACGACCCAAAAACTGCAAGTTACTTGGGTCCTGCGAGGCCAACCGCATTCGCGCCACCATCCAACGCACATCATGACCATACACCACCACAGCCTGACGAAGCCCAAGCCCCCTCTCCACAATTGACACACCGCAGTGTCCAGGCGCTTCCAACGAAACCTCCTCAAACTCAAAAGATAGACCGCCAAGGAACAAAATCTGCTGTCGAGGACCGCGTTTGTTCAATGCCGGAAACATCAAGAAATGGCAAATCTAATAATTAGCATGTGTGTTTTTCCATTATCAAGTTTTCAAAAACCAGCCACCTATATACTATTTTACGCAAATGTAGATATGGAGTTATAAACACTTAGGCCTCGTTTGGGAACCCTCCTTTTTAGCCAAAAAGTCAAAAAGTTACTAAATTAGCCAAAAAGCCAACAATCTATGTCAAAAAGTCAAAGATTCTCTTTTCTCTCTACTTTTTGCACATCTTTTCGTAAAAAGCCAAAAAGTCATCCCAAACATACTAGTTTTTTTTAGTTCATATTTTAGCCAAATGGCCAAAAAGTTACTAAATTAGCCTGTTCCCAAACGAGGCCTTACCTTGGATAAAAAATTTATTTTCAAAAGGCACTGGTGCACATCTCGTAATTGGGCTGGTTAACATATTGGCATGATGTCTGATGATTACCAAATGTATGATTCATTAATCTAGTAATTGACTGGTTTTTCATTAATGTGTGTCGTAGTTTCCATCTTCTTTTTTGCCCCCGTTGTTCGCCTTTTGATGGGTATGTGTCTCTTGGTTTTGGTCTACAAGGTCTGCTAATGGAATGCAATGATGTGGTCTTATTCATTTTGTTATTAATGAACATGTGTATATTACATATGTTCTTTCGAATACAATTTTGAGCCACTTTAATATCATCATCATATTTTGTTCAGGTACCCTGTGCCACAACTTCCCAAAGATGCATACGCACAAATGATGTTGAGAATGTAGGTCGAACATCTAGACATCATACATTCTTTGAGATGCTTGGAAACTTCAGTTTTGGAGATTACTTCAAGAAGGAAGCAATTAAATGGGCATGGGAGCTTACTACCTTGGAGTATGTACGAGTAATTTTATTGTGACACTAAAGTCTAGACTGATAATTCTCTTGTCTTCACACTCCTTTTGTTGATTGAATATGTCTATTTTTAATTTGTTTTTTTTCCCTTATTGACTTGCCATAAATCTCAACATCCTTATTTCAAGTTGGCACCTCTTATGAAGTTTTATGTTTCTCAATAGGTGCCAGGCCTATAAAATTTCTGATAAAAACTGGTTTTTAAGTCATACAAGCAGTATTTTTTGAATAATATTTCCACAATTTTATGTCTACAATCAACGCCTGGAATTATTTATGAGCTTAAAATGTTATGAGCATCAATTCACTATATAAGATGTAACCATTCTAGTGGCTGCAAGTAGTTGTAGTTTCAAAGGCACATCCTTGGACAGTGTTTGTTGTGGGATGACACTGTTGTTAGCAATGGGAAAAAAGCAGCAGTCAAAACTGTAAATATTTTGGGATCCATACTAGTAGTGAAGAGTGTAAAGTCCATGTGCACATCTGCCAAACAGACCCTAAAATCAAGCATAAATGCCTTTTTTGGGGGGCGTAGGTTCCAATATGTTAGTACCAGATGTTGGTCAATACAGTACTAAAAGGATGGGTTTTTCAGATTTTTTTTTGAATAAATTTTTCCTCGTCGTAGCTATGAATTTGTGATTGTTTCTCTGAGCAAGAAGAATGAAAGTATTTGTTTAATTGCTCAGGTTTGGATTGCCAGCTGAAAGAGTATGGGTAAGTGTTTATGAAGATGATGATGAAGCATTTGAAATGTGGCATGACGAGGTAAGCAGACAAGAACTTTAATCATATTGTTGTACTTATAGTCTAATATATCTTTTGTAATTTTCTCCGCTTGCGTATCTGATCATTAAAATTGTTTTCCATGTAAAGAGATGTCTAGCTATCCAAATTCATGCCAAAGAGGCTTTTCATGAACGTTTCCAAAATTTTCATACCCTCGTTAAAATCACTCTTCATGGTCATTCAAGTTACAAATATGCACCTGCCTGGTATGTCCGAGGTGTCCATTTGAGACTTTTTTGTTCTTCACTTCTTGGGGACTGTATACTTCCACGTGAGAGTTCTTTTACTGATAGCTTCCAGATATAAATGATATGTGAAATTAACTTCATAAATCTGGTTCTTGCTTCAGGTTGGTGTTCCTGCGGAGCGTATAAAGAGGATGGGTGAAGAAGACAACTTTTGGACTAGTGGAGTGACTGGTCCCTGCGGTCCATGCTCCGAGCTTTATTACGATTTCCATCCTGAGAGAGGACACTCAGATGTTGTACATATTTTGTTAAAACCATTTCCTTTCTTTTTTATATTGGTTTGGGTGAAGCTGGACTATTTTGTATTTGAATTATTTATTAGCATTATCACTATGATTTTGATTATTGAGTTGATGTTTTTCATTTGCAGGACTTAGGAGATGATACTAGGTTCGTAGAGTTCTACAACCTGGTTTTCATGCAATACAATAGAACGGATGATGGTTCACTTGAACCATTAAAACAAAAGAATATTGATACTGGTTTAGGTTTGGAGCGTATGGCTCGCATCCTTCAGAAGGTACTTCTAGCTCTGCCACATCTGAGTTATGAACGGTTTAAGTACTTCTCATATCAAAGCAAATGGGATGCCTCCATCTGATACGAATCTTGGTAATGGAGTTTGTACTGCCCACAGCAAACTTCCCCTGCAATAATCTCATTTTGGTTTCAGAAGAATCATTTCTTGAAGATTCTTTTGGTTATTTTTTAGTTCAACTTCACACTTCGTTTTATATTCTACCATGTCTGCAGGTTCCCAACAATTATGAGACTGACTTGATCTTTCCCATTATAGAGAAAGCCTCAAAATTGGCAAATGTCTCATATGCTCTTGCGGATGATTCTACAAAAACAAACCTTAAAGTATGCTATCACCAAGAGTTTGTGATATCTTCAATAGTTTTCTCTAGCATATATTAATTATTCTTATATTTGCACTGGTACTATAAAACTTTCCATTGTTTTAGATAATTGGTGATCACCTGCGTGCAATCGTTTATCTCCTGTCAGACGGCGTTGTCCCATCAAATATTGGGAGAGGTTATGTAGTTCGGCGACTCATCAGAAGGGCTGTTCGTACTGGCAGGTTAGTTGGTATAAAGGGGGATATTGAAGAAGCATTTTTGCCTACAATTGCAGAAAAAGTAATTGACATGAGCACCCACATAAATTCAGACGTAAAAACAAGAGCATCCCGCATTTTGAAGGAGTTGAAGAGGGAAGAACTACGTTTTGTACAAACATTGGAGAGAGGGGAAAAGCTGCTTGATCAAATGTTAGCAGACGCATTGTCAAGTGCTCAGGAAAATAGCACTGCACCTTGCTTGTCAGGCAAGGATGCATTTCTCTTGTATGACACGTACGGTTTTCCCGTGGAGATAACTAGGGAAGTGGCTGATGAATGCGGTGTCAGTATAGATATGAACAGTTTTGATATTGAAATGGAGAACCAAAGACGTCAGTCTCAGGCTGCACATAATGCTGTCAAACTTGAAGTTGAAGATGGCGGAGATCTAGCTGAAAATATTCGTGACACAGAATTTCTAGGTTATGACACACTTTCCACCAGAGCAGTAGTTGAGGCTCTCTTCGTGAATGGGAAACCGGTACTACAGGTTTCCGAAGGCAGCGAAGTGGAAGTTTTTCTCAATAGGACACCATTTTATGCTGAATCAGGTGGTCAAATTGGAGACAATGGTTTTCTATTTATTCCCGAAGCTGGAAACCAACAGACTGCTGTTATAGAGATAAAAGACGTCAAAAAATCGGTGGGTAATATATTTGTTCATAAGGGTACTATCAAGGAGGGAAGTATAGAGGTTGGCGGTGAAGTGGAAGCTGCGGTAGATGCAAAGCTGAGGCAACGAGCTAAGGTACTGGCTTAAATAATACAGTTTACCACATTTACAGTATAATTAACTTGTCAGCACTCGTCTGCATATTTAATGATGCAAACTTCTACAGTAGTGTTTGTTAGTTTATTTTTCTATCTCAAAACTTTACTTTTTGTGAACCTTGTTTGCTCTTTGGCAGGTTCATCACACTGCTACTCATTTGCTACAAGCTGCACTTAAAAAAGTAATAGGCCAGGAAACATCACAAGCTGGTTCATTGGTGGCTTTTGATCGTCTTAGATTTGATTTCAACTTCCACCGGCCACTTTTGGACAATGAGCTCATGGAGATTGAAGGACTGATCAATAGCTGGATTGAGGACTCAACACTTCTGCAAACTAAAGTGATGCCTCTAACTGATGCTAAAAAAGCTGGGGCTATTGCAATGTTTGGAGAAAAATATGGAGAACAGGTTCAAGTTTCTATAAAATCTTTTCTTTTGTACTTCTGAGTTCTGACAGAAAATGGTGTTAAAATATATGCTCATTTCACAACACATAAATGCTGTAACTTATGGAACATACTTTTACATAGGATTTGATTTTTCCTTCAAATACTGTGATTATTTTAGGTACGTGTTGTAGAGGTTCCAGGTGTATCCATGGAACTATGTGGTGGCACTCATGTCAGCAGTACTTCTGAAATACGTGGCTTCAAAATAATCTCAGAACAGGGCATTGCGTCTGGAATCAGACGTATAGAAGCCGTTGCTGGTGAAGCTTTTATCGAATACATCAATGCTAGAGATAACTACATGAAACAGCTCTGCTCCACTCTCAAAGTATGTTTTCTTCTGTATTCTTTTTGCTAAATAGAGAACACCTGATTGTTTCCAATGTTTTCATTATTAAAATTCATTCTGCAAAGGTGAAAGCTGAAGATGTACCAGCCAGGGTAGAAACACTATTGGAGGAATTGCGAATGGCAAGAAATGAAATTTCTGCTATTCGTGCTAAAGCAGCAGTTCACAGAGCCTCAATCATCGCAAACAATGTATTGCTTGTGGGAAATTCTAAAAATATCAGGTATTAAATTAACTTCTGTAGTTCCATCATTGTTAAAGAGTAGAAACTTTGGATCAACTATACATCTATGATAAAGAGCACACGAAATCATTCAAACTTGTAAAGAATAGCTTGTTACACAGTCTTGGAAAAAACACACCCTAAAGTTAGCTCAGCACAAGGTGCCCTCAGATTTATATACTGCACATTACTTTTGTACCCAGTCGATGTGGAATTTCGCTTCACACCTTCCCTCACACCAGTGTGCTCGCTTGGCAGCACCCACCATGTACAAGCCAAGGATATGCACCCTACCCATCCCTAGTTCTCTGGCTCTGATACCATATGTTATATCACCATTAGTCCCCAAAGCTTAAGCTATTAGAAAATGAGCCCAACAATCTATATTAAGCTCTTCAACATAGCTAACTCACACCGCCATCATTCAGACAACTCAACCTAAACCCAAGCGCAGAAAAGAACAAAAACAAAAACAAAAAAAATTGACATTAACAAGTCTTGATATTATTTCCCCTTTGGAGATCTAAAAGAGCATTCTATGAATAATACAGTTGCTTTCTGGAAAATTACTTTACAGGGTGCTGGTTGAGTGCATGGATGATACAGATGCTGATTCACTGAAGAGTGCAGCTGACTACCTAGTGGATACATTAGAAGATCCGGCAGCTGTGATTTTGGGCTCATGTCCTGGTGAAGGCAAGGTAAGCTTAATCGCTGCATTCTCACCGGGGGTGGTTGGCATGGGAGTTCGAGCAGGGAAATTTATTGGGCCTATAGCGAAGTTATGCGGTGGAGGAGGGGGTGGCAGGCCTAATTTTGCTCAGGCAGGTGGTAGAAAACCTGAGAATTTGTCAAGTGCCCTCGAAAAAGCTCGATCTGAGCTTGTTTCTATTTTATCAGAAAAAGCTAGCTGAAATTCATTAGGCTGTCCCAAAAGCTATGAGAATCTGTGAAGCTTTTATAGATTCCAGTTATGCAACTGCTTAGGCAATTATTACATCCCAACATAGCAATAGCATAGAACCCTTTTCTCTTTCTATTTTTATTTTTATTTTTTTATTTCTGTTTCTTTTGGTTGGGGGAAAGAGGGTAAGTAGAAAATTTGCAAAGTTCATCATATAGCATTGGTATTATTTGGTCAAACAATGTAATTTTGCTATGTTCATTTCTTTGTGTGAGCCAATTGTACATAATAATCAAAAGTTTTCGGCTTTAGTACTTCAAAAATGACTGTTAGCCTGATTGGAAGAGGAAAAATATTTGCTAGTTTGGAAACAGTATATTAATTCTTCTGCTTAGATTAATTTTTTGTATGAAATATGACAGTAAAAAGCGTGTCCAAGATGATAGTATATGACAAGAACATGGTTGAAGATAACGAGATTGTACTTCTCTTTCTCAATATAGAGATAATCGCCCTTGTCAACCACATATACATAGCATTAGGGTAAGAGGTCACAGTATCCCAACACACCGCACAGTGTGTTGACCTTTGTTTCCATTTTTACCTCTACTTTTGGCTAGTGTGTGTGGCTTATGCATACCTTTGTGGGCACTTTCGTGTGCTTTGGAGCAGATGGTGTTTTCACAAATTTTTAAATGTTCCATGCCCTCTGAACTTCCCAGTTTTATATCTGCTCTTCACTCCATGCATATCATGGCCATTTGAAGCTGGAAAAGCAATTATTTATGAAGTTGTTTATATAATTCCAATCTCTCTCTGTGAATCATCCAGATCTGTTGGGATAAGTATCAGATTTCTGATACCTAACCTGATCCATGTATGACGAGGAATGAACCGTTATTAATAGTAACATATATAGTTCAATTGTTTACTGCCATTTTGTTTTTAAATTAATGCTTTAAGTTTGAATCCCTGACATGGAGGTATGGCTGATTAGACAACCAAAAAAAACTCTATGGTCTGAAGGTTAAGCACAAATATTAATACTCTCTCAACATTTTGTGTTTCGCGTGTATTTCTACTTGTAGTTTATACTCAGTTATGGTCAAATTTGAATAGCTAATGTTTTCCAGCACATTAAGATAAGGATAATTAATAATTTTGCTAGAACTAAAGAAAGACAAAAAGAATCACATGCTTTATTCCACAGCCCACCTTAATTGTTCTTGCTTGATAAGATCAATTTTTTAACTTTGTTCCCTTCTCTCCCCTCATTAACAAGATAAGCAATCATTTCACATCTCATGCTTTGCTTTGACATCTCATTTTTTGTTTTCATATTGTTCTTAACTTCACAAGGTGCATTATTGAACCAAAACTATTGTCATCCCCCCCCCCCCCCCCCTCCTAAAATCTCCACTTAACAATTCACATTGAGTCCAATAAAACATGATAAAAATACCATCTCCTAGTTGGTAATTGCATTTAAAAGAAAAAAATGATGATAGAGAATTTGCAAATCATGAGGATCATGCATATTTTCAAGGTTATAATGTTCATTTTGACTCAAAAGTACCAGTTACCGAATAAAGGTTAGATGTAATGGTGATCAAGCGATTTTTACCAGTGTTTAGTTAAAAGTGTGTCATCAATACTCTTTGAATTACAAACGTGGTACTCACAAATCAAAAAATACTAACAATTGAACGACTAAAGCCGATCTTAACTATCTCAATTGATTGGGTGGGAGGCAAGATCGGTTCCATCCATCCTTTTGTGTGTGGTGTTATTGGTTGGGATTATTAAGTGCGCATGCGACAGTATTACTCCAAGAATATTGAATATTTTTCTTGTATCCAATGTCTAAGGAAAATTATGAAGTAATCACGAAATAATCATGTAATATTATTTACATGACATTTTTGATAAATGTAGAACCCCAAAACACATGAAATGGGCCACCTTGTCTTTTCTAGTTACCTAACAAATGTAAGTGAATATTGTTCCATTCCTAAATTCTTTTTTGTTAGGTCATTGATTAAAAACACCACATAAAAAATGTCTCAAAATTACTGAACATCTAATCCTTAGACATAGAGAACAAGAGAAGAAACTTGTTAAAAATTGAACAAACCCAAACCCAAACCCAAACCCATAGAAACATAAATGCCAATGCACAGCTGTTAGTGCATTGGCAAATAGTCGGTGAGGGACAAACAGCCCACCCCCATTATATCTCTTTTTTTATATATTTTCTTTTTAGTCCCTCCGCGTATGCGCAAACGCCTGTCTCTTTCCTTTGCCCATCTATCATGCATAAAACCAAATGTAAACACACCCAAGCTGTTTTCAAATGCTTACCCTGCTGGACGCCACCTCTTACTTCTCTTTCTCTCTATATATATATCTCTTCCCTCTTATCTTTCTTGTACTCTCTCAATCTCATCATCCCATTCTCCACGAATGGCTTTGTTTCTTTGCCTCTTCTTCTTTCTCATCTCTTCATCAAGTGCTTGTGATCGTTGCGTGCACCAAACCAAGGTTGCCTACTTCTCCAAAGCATCCGCTTTATCATGTAAGATTTTGACACAAGTCTCTTCTACTTTGGTTCATGTTTGATTGTTAGGTGATAAAGACCCGTATTTTTTGCGATTGAAAAAACACAAAATTGGCATAGACCCAGATGATATTTTCCCGAAATATTAAGTGGGTAATCTTTACTTTTTCAATTTGACGCAGCTGGGGCTTGTGGGTATGGTTCCTTGGCCGTAGGCTTCACTGGCGGCTACCTTGCTGCTGCTGTTCCTAGTCTTTACAACAATGGAGCTGGTTGTGGAGCATGCTTTCAGGTTTGTTCATTTGTGTTGATAGACCTTTTTAGTTTTCTTGTATTTGATTTTACTTTTTTCTTATCTGATTGGGTGTGTATGGTTTTGCTGCAGATGAGATGCAAGAACACAACTCTCTGTGCTGAACAGGGGACTAAAGTGATAGTTACTGATCTTAACCAGAATAACCATACAGATTTTGTTCTAAGTAGCAGAGCTTTTAGGGCCATGGCTAACAAGGGTATGGAGCAAGACATTTTGAAACTTGGGCTTGTCAATGTCGAATACAAGAGAATACCGTGCGAGTACAAAAACCAGACTAAGTTGAGATTATTGAAGAATCTAAGCCTCTTATCATATTCCAGAGAATTCGAATTTCTCAACTCCTTTCTTGAACCCTCTCTTACACCATTAAACAAAGAACAAGCACATTGATTTATAATATTAATGTCCACCATATACTGTATATTAAAATGGTCCCCAGAAAACAAATAAAATAAAGATAGAAGAATAGGCAGCTGTATTTCCAGAGCAATTATGGCCGATGCCAAGGCAGAGTACAATCACTCACTGCATTAAACTGCTGTAAATTGTCCTGGCAATAGGGACCGCCCTTAAAATCTAATTTCAATATCCTTCTCCCCTAGCCTAGTCAGTTGTTCATAAATCCTCTAGCAAGCAAGTAATGATTCAGTTTTCAATAATCCCTTTGGCATGTAACAGAATACCGTGCGAGTACAAAAACCAGAATTTGGCAGTCCGCGTGGAAGAAACGAGCAAAAAGCCAAATTATCTAGCAGTAAAGTTCTTGTACCAGGGTGGTCAGACAGAAATTGTAGCAGTAGATGTGGCTCAGGTGAATTAAAAAGCTAGATGGTTGATAATTTTTTTGTGAAATTATTGAATTGCTCGCTCTAACATTAATGTCTTTGCACTATACATATAGGTTGGTTCATCAGATTGGAGTTTCATGAGTCGAAACTATGGCGCTGTGTGGGATACAGATAGAGTACCGGCCGGGGCATTGCAGTTCCGAATGGTTGTGACATCAGGGTATGATGGGAAGTGGATTTGGGCACAAAATGTGCTTCCAGTGGATTGGAAGGTTGGGGTTGTCTATGATTCTGGAGTTCAGATCAATGACATTGCGAAGGAGGGATGTTCACCTTGTGACGATGGAAGCTGGAATTCAAGATAGCCTTCTTGTTTTACTTTTGTGAATACCAAATTGGATTTCATTTTGATATCATAAATACGTAAATGTACTCTTTTGAGTTGTTCGGATTTGAAATTGTAACCGGAAAGGTTAGGAGGAACAAATTAAATGGTGTTGATGATAGTACGAGACAGTCTATTTCCTCACTTCAATAGCATTTACCATATTTAATGCTCTCTCTCTCTCTCTCTCTCGTTTCCGTGTGGGTAATGTTGGCGGGTAATGTTGTCACGGAAAATATATGATTTCTCATAAATAAATTAGTTAATGTTGTATCAGCCGCCACACACTGTTGTAAAAAAATAAAACAATCCCAAATATATATGTTTAGAATTCTTGGGTTTTTTTACTAGTTGTACCAAATTGATTATAAAACTCCATTGAATTTCTAAAAGTTAGATATAATATATTAAAATATATTATAACTAATATCAAATTAAACCAAATATTTTAATAAATTAATTGGGTTTCATACTCCAATAAGGATCTCCCTAACGACTTAGGTGGAGACATCATCCATACTCGCCAAAATTTGACAATTTAAATGTTTGTCCCTTGATAAAGTCTAAGGGGTTGTTTGGGGTGTCATAAATAATTGTACATTTTGTCTTTTTGAACTAAAAAGTTGAGAACAAAAATATTAATGTTTGGGTTAACTTTTTATCTTTTTATAAAAAAATGTGTAATAAAAAATTATATAAATAAAGTGTATAGTGGAAGAAAGTTAACAAAGCTATACGGCTGCCCTGCTGCCCCAGCATGTCTTACACAGAAAATAATTACCTTTTTCGGGGCAAAGTGTTTGGACAGTGATGGTCGGTCCGTGGGGGCCACCATGGGTCCCATTTTAATAATCTGAACCGTTCAATATGTACAACTCGTCGAGTATTATATGCCTGTTAAAAATCACGTTGATCGGATATCAATAGCTATATGATCGGATCGGATATCTTTCAACAGTTAACTATCACACCATCCATTTTATTTATACAAAACTGATTTGATCATATAGTTAACGATATTCGATCAACGTAATTTTTTACAGACATATATTATTCGACGAGTTCTACATATTGAACGTTTTGGATTATCAAAACGGAACCCTTAGTGGGCCCCCAAGGGCCCAACATTACCATCAAACTTTGTGGCTTTACATATGTAATTTTTTTTTTGTTCCAAAAGTGTATAATGGCCTGGTCTCTATCAGAAGTACAGCTGTCACGTTGCTCAATCGATTTGTATTATAAAAATATATAAAATATTTTTTTAATATTTTTTATTTGTAAATAGTAATAGTCATTTTTTGTTTTTTGTGTAACTTTTTGACTTTTTAGATTCTTTTTGACTTGCCAAACCAGCCCTTAGTCAACATATTCAAAATATTATCTTCTGTGTGAACCTTTTCGAGTTGTAACAATTTTGAATCTAACACATCACGAATCCAATAGTATCTTACATCAATTTGTTTAGATCTCGAATGAAAAATGAAATTTTTACTCAAATGAATAGCACTTTGACTATCACAATAAAGCACATATCTTTCTTGATTCAAACCCAATTCTTGCAAAAATTTCTTCAACTATAACTCTTCTTTGCAAGCTTCCATAATGGCGATAAATTCAGGTTCGGTAGTTGAGAGAGCAATACGTTTTTATAATTTAGATTGCCATGCCACAACTCCACCTACAAATGTCATCAAATACCCCGAAGTAGATTTCCTAGAATCAATATCACCGGCCATGTCAGAATCTGTGAACCCATCAAGCATCGGCTTACCCCCAAAACACAAACACACCTTTGAAATCCCTTGAAGATATCTTAAAATCCACTTCACCGCTGCCCAATGTTCTTTACTCGGATTAAAGAGAAACCGACTCACCACACCAACAACGTGAACAATTTCTGGCCTTATACAAACTATGGCGTACATCAAAAAACCAACTGCTAATGCATAAAGAATTTTCTGCATCTGTTTCTTGTATTTCTCACTTGTAGGACATTGATTCGAATTAAGCTTGAAGTGAGCCGCAAGTGGACAACCAACCGACTTTGCTTTATCTATGTTGAACCTTCCAAACACTTTTTCAATGTAGCTTTCTTGAGACAACCAAATTAGCCCCTTTTTGTGATCACAAACAATTTTCATATCAAGTATTTGCTTTATCGATCCCAAATCTTTCTTAGCAAAAGACTTGCTCAACTCCAATTTTAACCTGTTAATCATAGTATAATCTTGATCCACAATTAACATGTCATCAACATAAAGCAAAAGAATAATAAACTTGTCATCCGGAAATTTTTCACAAACACACAATGATCCGAAGTGGTTTTAGAAAAACCATTATTCATCATGAAAGAGTCAAATTTTTTGCACCATTGCCGCAGGACTTGCTTGAGGCCATACAAACTTTTTTCAATTTGTAAACAAATTTCTCTTTCTCTTTCTCCACAAAACCATCCAGTTGCTCCATGTAAATTTCTTCTTCAAGATCACCATAAAGAAATGTAATCTTCACATCAAGTTGTTCAACTTCAAGGTTCATACTTAAAGCCATGCCAAGTACAATTTGAAAAGAAGACATCTTCACAACCGGCGAGAAAATCTCATCAAAGTCAATACATTTCTTTTGCCTAAAGCCTTTCACAGCAAGAAGTGCTTTGTACCTCAAATTCTTGCCATCATTCTTCAATTTGAAAACCCACTTATTTTTCAAAATTTTCCTCCCCTTAGGCAACTTCACTAAATCATAAGTTTGATTTTCAAGCAAGGAATTCATTTCCTCTTCCATGGACTTTTTCCAATCACTTTTCTTTGCATGCTTAATTGTTTCTTCGTAGCTCTCAAGCTCCCCTTGATCGGAAATCAACACAAATTTATTGAGAGGATACTTTCTCGAAGGTTGCCGATCCTTTGTAGATTTCCTCAACCTAAGTTGTGGTGGCGGTTCTTGAGTTAGATGCTCTTTCTCAATTTCTAGCTCAAGTTCATTAGGATTAATATCATCATTTACATCTTTAATAGGTGGCTACATATCTTCTCCATTTTCATCATCCACCGAAGATGAAGGAGATGGATCCATGTCAATGAGATGGCTACTTTTTGGCTCTGGTTGATCACCTTTGCTAAAGTCTTCAATTGTTTGATCTTCAAGAAACACAGCATCACGGTTTCGAATGACTTTCTTGTCGACCGGATCCCACAATTTATAACCAAATTCATCATGCCCATAGCCAAGAAAAATACATTGTCTTGACTTGCTATCAAGCTTGGACCTCTCATCTTTTGGAATGTGAACAAAAGCTCGACAACCAAACACTCTCAATTGCTCATAAGACACATCTTTACAAGTCCAAACTCTTTTTGGAATATCACCATGCAAAGGATAAGAAGGAGATAAATTGATCATGTCAACCGTTGTCCTCATTACCTCACCCCAAAAGGATTTTGGCAATTTTGTATGTGAAAGCAAACACCTTGTTCTTTTCACAATGGTGCAGTTCATCCTCTCGGCAACGCCATTTTGTTGAGGAGTCTTTTTAACTGTCTTTGATACTGAATACCTTAGCTGCGACAATACTCATCAAATGGCCCAATGTATTCACCACCATTGTCTGTTCGGATGCACTTTAATTTCTGTCTTGTTTCTCTTTTAACCATGTCTTGAAAATGCTTAAATACATCTAGAACTTGATCTTTAATTTTTAGTATAAAAGCCCAAACTTTCCTTGATAATCATCAATGAAAGTAACAAAATAAAGTGCACCACTATGTGTTCTAATTTTTAAAGGACTGCACACATCCGAATGAATCAACTCCAAAATATTTTCTTTTCTAGAAGCAACATTTTTATGAAAAGAAACTCTATGTTGATTACCCGCCAAACAATGAACACAAGTTTTAAGATGTGTACCTTTCAAACCGGGTAGAAACTCTTTCTTGAACAAAACTTATAGACTTTTTTCATTCTTGTGCCCAAGCCACTTGTGCCAAAATTCGGTAGAAGTATCATCTTCAAGTCCATTGACAACACCTTTACAAATTTTTCCTTATATCGAATAAAGTGTATAAGTCTTCTTGCACTTAGCTGCCACCAAAGAACCCTTTGTGAGCTTCCATATTCCATCACCAAATTTTTTGTTGAAGCTTTCATCATCTAGCTTCCTGGTAGAGATCAAATTGAGGCAAATGTTGAGAACATGCCTCACATCTTTAAGCAACAACTTGCAGCCCAAATTTGTTTCCAAGCAAACATCACCCATGCCAATAATCTTGGACAAACCTTCATTATCCATTCGAACACACCCATAATCTCCTTTGGTATAAGTAATGAAGAAATCAACTCGAGAAGTCACATGAAAAGAAACACCGGAATCAATCACCCAATTGCTCTCTTGGCCCACAAAATTGATACAATCATCTTCACAAACGACCATGAGATCACCATTGGTAGTAACCGCTGTTGTATCTTCTTGCTTCTTATCCACACTTTTGTCATACATTTTCTCTTTGTTCTTGAGCTTTCAGTATTCCCGCTTCATGTGCCCTTTCTCATGGTAGTAATAGCACTCAATGTTTTTCTTTGAAAAAGAACCATTTCTTGATTTGTCACGACTTTAATCACAACTATGAGGAGCCTTACTCATCTCCCTTGTTTTGCTTCGGTCTCTCACAACAAATGCCTCCAAATGAGAAGAGCCTGCTGATTTTCTTCTAGTTTCTTCATTCAACAAGCTACTAGTGACTTGGCTCATTATGACAACTCCATCGGGCGCCGAATTACTAACCATCAAAAGCAAAGTCTCCCAACTTTTGGGCAAAGAACTAAATAGCATCAAAGCCTGCAACTCATCATCAAAAAAAATTTTCATAGAAGCAAGTTGGTTAACAATGCTCTTTATTTCATTCAAATGTTCCGGAATAGGGCTGCCCTCTTTATATCTTAAATTAACCAACTTACGAAATAGAAAAGTTTTATTTGTGGTTGATTTTCTATCATAAAGGCCTTCTAATTTTTTCCATAAATCATATGTTGAAGTTTCAGTAGCAACATGATGAAACACATTGTCATCAATCCATTGACAGATAACACCGATAACTTTTCGATTAACCCTATTTCATTCATCATCTTACATACCCTCGGGTTTGCCACTGTTACCCTCAATAGGCCCATACAAATC